ATAGCCATACATTGCAACTGGGAAAATCATGGCCTGGACTATACGCACTTTTGTTAGCAGGATGATGTCTCTGCTTTTTAGTATGCTGTCTAGATTTGCCATAGCTTTCCTCCCCAGGAGCAAGCATCTTTTAATTTCTTGGCTGCAGTCCCCATCTGAGGTGATCTTGGAGCCCAGAAAAATAAAATCTGTCACTACCTCCATTTTACAAATACATATTTGCAAAAGGGGAGGAGAATTTTCAGCTTTTTCTTTTCTTTCAGCTCCCCTTTACAAATGTATATTTGTAAAAGGAGAGCTGAAAGAAAAGAAAGAGGATAAATTCTCCTCCCCTTTTGCAAATATTTATTTTACAAATATATATTTGCAAAAGGGGAGGAGAATTTACTGCTTTTTCTTTTCTTTCAGCACCCAGACAAGATAGATTCTGCATGTTAAATATTACATGTTACATGTTAAATTTAATTGATCACTTTTTCTTCTTCTTTTGTAAACTATTTTTTTTGTTATTGTTAGGGTTGAATGTATGCTTTTGTTTTGTTTCATTTTGTTTGTGTCATTGTTTTGTATTATTCTCAATGATAAAACAATAATTATAAGAATAAGAAAATAATAGCTTTACCTATGAAATACCAAAGGGTATACCTGTTGGCTCTGTTTGCACAGCTTGATATGCTGCAATGTGTTTAGTTACCTTATGGTTCAGAAGGCATTGGGTCAACTCTGCCAATGGATTAATTCGGAAAACACTGGTTAAATCATGGATTATTGTGCCAAGTAAAAACAGGCACAATTCAAGAGAATTAAAAAGCCGTTTGCTTATTGGCAGTAAAAAGCTAAAAATTATCAAATCACCAAGGGAAAAAGGAATATTGTTATAACTGCTTACAGTTTTGTAGAATGGTACCAATTCTTTCATACCAAATATGCTATTTGTCAAGTTTAATTAAGTTCACACTTTTTTCCCCCCGCAGTTTGTATGTGGTCTTTTAAATGATGTTTATGTTTTCCAGGCATTAAGAGGAACCAAGACAGAAAATGGAAATACAGTATGCTGAACATATTTTTTTTTGCAATTTAAAAACTCTCCTTTAATACAGTTTTTATACTTTGAAAGGTTTACGCAGCATATCTTCCATTTATTTGTTCCATTTATATTTATTCTTTATATTCGTTTATTTTTTATAGTTATTTATTGTTCTATAAAATGTTCCTACTTAAGGCAGCATTAGAAATTCACATTTTTAACGTCTAATTCTCATATCTTGTATGCAGAATAAAAGTATCGTGGGGGAAAAATGCTCGTGTATTGGCACACCTCTCTTTAGATTTTCTAATACTGCTCCGGATCAGACTCTGAAGCACCCATAGACAAGCCTCCTTCGAAATATAGCCGGAGTCTGCTACTCTTAAATAGCTAGTTTACCGTAGTTATGTACTGGGGTGCGGCCCGAGTGGCAATATCGCGTCTGTCATCATGAATTAGCGATCGCCAAGTATCCTGCGAGAGGGTCGCACAAACGAGCAAGCGTCTTGGGCTCCCCTTTGTATCCCTATACTGTAACTGACATACAGAAGTACTCTGGAATAAAAGGGTTAAAATGTATTGAACTATGCCACTCTCCTCGCTAATCTTCCTCTCATTACGTACTAACCTCGGCCTTTGGAATCAATCTCACTTATATCCGCATAGGGCTCAATATCTTAGCTGAAAGCCAAGTTCTTTATTCTAGGTAGCCAACGATCTCGATAACATGCAGCCAATTAGGGATCGGGAAACCTGTAACTGGCCAATGAAAAGTAGCATAGGTTGGCTCCGCTTCTCCCCAGGTATATACATTAATTTCCCCGAATTGAAAGCGCCAGGCGCGCTCTGAGAACTTTGGAGAAGTTGTGTCTTTTTTTTTTTTTTTTTCCCTCGTCTTCCTTGTGACGCGGTGGTGAATCGTCTTAGCTGGTAGTATCTGGGCTGTTTAAAGGCTCCCTTGTAAGTATTCGCTGTTTTCTGTCAGGTGAAAATGAAGCCTCTTGCACGGCGTTTGCTTTTCATTTGGTTTCTCAGATTCTCCCTTGAAATCCGCCCGCTGGGTGCTAGCCAGAGTCACCCACATGCAGGTCGTGTGAAGGCAGTGATTCTCCGGTTTTAGCTTGGATTTAGGGCGGATTGGATAGCAAGAGGCACAAAAGAAATGCCAAAGGAGGGAGGAGGCAAATAAAACAGAAAATAAAACAGAAAATATAAAATAAAATAAAATATAGCGGCTTTCATAGGATTAGGGTTGTTTTGTTGCTTTATTTTGGTCAGAAATCCAAATCTTTCTCCTCGGAGTAAGCATTCTTTCATTCCAGCTCGTTTCCGTCAGTTAGGGGAGCGGGTGGCCGCCTTCAAGCTACGCGGAAAGGTAGAAGCGGACAAGCATTTTGGACTCGGTTCCGAAAAGGATATTAATGGAGGGGCGAACCTGACAACTGCATTCAGCTCTTTAGAGCAGCGCATCTTTTTCGGGACGACGCTTGGTCGCCCGGAGCGGGCAAGTTCCCACGAACAAAGATAGCCCCTCCGTGTCAGATTTAGACTTGGTGGAGCCTTAGGGTACATAAAGATTGAAGGCTCCTAATTTACACCAGAAGGTCTCTCAAAGATGGTGCCAAAAGAAGAATCTTGGATTCCTATCACCACCACCACCACCACCACCACCACCACCACCACCACTACCACCACCACACACACACACACACACACACACACTATATATATATATATATATATATATATATATATATATATATATATATATATATATATATATATATATATATATATATATTTAGCCAGTTTGGTCAAGGCAACAGGCTAACAACCCAGAGACTGTTACTTCTAGTTTATTTTTGAGCAGGAAAGCTGGCTGGATGACTTTAGGCTACTCACTCTCAGCCCAATTTGCCTCATAGGGTGGCTGAGTGAAAAATAGGAGGAAAATGTCTTAGGTATGTTCTCAGCCTTGTGTTATTTTTTAAAAATAATAAAGGCAGGATACAAATAAAATATGCTTTTCAATTAATAGCAAATATTTAAAATGGAAAATCGAAATTGAATGAGTTATGGGCAAAACCAGAAAACTGATATCAGATGCAGCTTATACACTTTTCTTCCTTGATTTCTCAAAAGTAAAATTTGTATTTATTTAAACTCTTCATCAGATGACTTTAGATTTCAATTCTTAAGATAATAAATATTGCCATTAAAACATTACAAGAATGGCTAAGGAAGGGGGAAAGATACAGACAAGGTGGAGGTAGAATCTTTTCTCAGTCCTTTCACCACTTCCAATTTGACACGCTTCATCGATTCAACGATTTAGATAAGGGAATGAAAGGGGAACTCATCAAATTTGCAGATGACACTAAATGGGCATTAATAGCCAACACCCCAGAAGATAGGCCCAAGATCCAGGTGGATCTTGAAAGACTTGAACACTGGGCCCAATCTAAAAATATGAAAGTCAATGTAGAGAAAAGTAAGGTTTTACACTTAGGCAAGAAAAACCAAATGCACAAGTACAGCTAAATAGCAGTAACTGCCAGAGAGATCTTGGAATCCTAGTGGGCAATCTCTTAAATAAGAGCCAGCAGTGCTACAGCTGCCAAAAAAGCCAACACAGTTCTGGGTTGCATTGACAGAGAGATAGAATCAAGATCACCTGAAGTGTTAATACCAGTTGATAATGCCTTGGTAAGGCCACACTTGGAATACTGCATCCACTTTTGGTCATCGTGATGTAAAAGAGAGATTGAGACCCTGGAAAGAGTGCAGAAAAGAGCAACAAAGATGATAAGAGGACTGGAGCCTAAAACATATAAAGAGCAAAGGTTGCTCGAATTGGCTATGCCTAGTCTAGGGAAAAGAAGGACTAGAGGTAATATGAATGTTCTAATATTAAAAGGGCTGCCACAAGGAAGAAGAGGTCAACCTATTTTCCAAAGCACCCAAAGGTAAGACAAGAAACAATGGATGGAAACTAATCAAGAAGAGAAGCAACCTAGAACTAAGGAGAAATTTTCTAACAGTGAGAACAATTAGCCATGGAATGACTTGCCTTCAGAAGTTGTGGGTGCTCCATCACTGGAAGAGACTAGATAGCTACTTGCATAAAGAGGATTGACAATATTGTGGCTGGAAGGAATTAGTATTTCCACCAAGACAGAGGTGAGAAGTTTTGAGCAATGTATGAAGCAATATATGGGTGTAGTAGCAAAAAGAAATGTATGGAAATGTATGGAAATGTATACCGGTAGTTAATAGGGTTGATGATAACTAGTTTTAGCTGTTTTCTCTTGTTTCTTTTTTTTTTTCTTACTCCTTCTTTTGCACTTTGCATTATGCTATTTACTGCCAATAGGAATGATGTGACTGTTTGTGCAATTTCATTGACATTTGTACTGTTGGACTCACAAAATGCTTGTACTCATTTGAGATTCTGATGTGTTATGAGACAAAAGTCCCATGTGATTGTGCAGAAAAATCAATTTCAATAATACAGCTAATGAGAGCTCTCCAGCAAGAGTGTCTTTAGGAAACAGTGAAATGGAGTAGAGGGTTTAATTTCCTTTGTATTATGGTAAATTCCAATTATTTGATATACAATTTAAAAGTGCTTTCAAGTTTAGTAGAAATGATATTTCATTTTAGTGCAGTGTTTCCCAAACTTGACAATTTTAAGGCATGTGGATTTCAACTCCCAGAATTCCACAGCCAGAGGCCAGTAATTTAACAGATCTTGACTTCGGTCTGAATGATGTTACCTTTCATGAATATTCTGTCACCTGCCCGGAAAAAAAATATATTCCTACTTAACACTCATAAAATATTTATATAAGACTGGCATAATGACATGGAATATAGAAAATTGAGGCTTGGCATACAAATCCTGTTGCTTGGTTTAGATTATTGTGTTTATTTTGGAACATCTGATAGGACATCAATTTTTTTTTATATATAGATTGACTAGAGACACAAAGAAGATGAAATCCCTTTTGCTCACTGCTGTCATTGCTGCCTTTGTTCTAGCTTTGTTCCTCCCTTCAGGTAAGTAAAGTGAACCCAACGGGAAATGGAAACTGAATGATAACAGTGCAGGGACCAGAAGAATAGAAGAGGGAGGTGAAAGTGGCTCATCATTCCAAGGGCTGGCTGAGTTTTAGCTTGATGCTTTGGAATCATATAAATGATATAATTTATGATAGAAAAAATTATATCCCTCTGAATCAGTGGTTCTCAACCTTTTTAATGCCGCGACCCCCAACCGCTCGTAAGTCGAGGGCTACTCAACCGGTCGTAAGTCGAGGACTACTCAACTGGTGTAGCACCGTTTGCAGAATGGGACTTTTGGCGGGCTCAGCAGAGACAGCCTGGACAATTCCTATTGGCTTTTGAAAGCCAATAGAATTAGACTCTATTCAAGAGAGTCTATTCTATTGGCTTTCAAAAGCCAATAGAATAAAAGGGAGTAGCACAGCTAAGGAAAAGGGGAAAAAATGGCAGACTGCGTTGTTTGGCGACCCCCGTGAAATGGTCGTTCGACCCCAAATGGGGTCCCGACCCACAGGTTGAGAACCACTGCTCTGAATGATAGTGTTGAAGGAAAAATCCTCATCAGGGTCCAGTCCAAGCTGGGAATAAACCACATGGCGACTGCTTTAGAAAGAAGGTTGTAGTTTATTGAAGAGGAGAGCCAGACAGAAAGATGGCTCTGGGAAAAAAAAGAGTGACCACATGTAGCAGGGAGTGGGTTTTTATACCTTCTGGTGCTCTTGAGGTATTTCCTGTTCCTGTCTGCAGCTTTGTATTTCCTGTGTCATGTACTTTGACCTGAGTCTGAGTGTGCTTTTCTGGTATTCTGATCGTGGTAGGTTAATCCTATTATGTTTCCTGTCCTTACAATTTGAGTGGGATATTTAGATTTTAAGAGTCTTTGTCTTCCTAATTTCTTCAGTTTCTAGCTGGAAGGCTCCAACCTTCCTGAATGGATTATTACATCTGCATTTCTAAAAGCTGGTTTCTGCTGAGTTGTCTGGCTGGATGTGTGTGTGGAGAAGTTTCTGATATTTTAAAGATCTTCTCCATTATTCCTTTGGGGAAATATATTCTGCCTTTTTAATATGCCCCAAAATATTTCTTTCTCTGAATTCTTCCCATAACAGATTCTTGATTGGAATTATATGAAACTGTCTTTTATAACCAGGCAAATTGTTGGGGCAATCCTAGACATCCAGTTTCAAGGGAACTCTTTTGTTGTTTTTCTTTTTGTGTGTGTCTTTGAGTCAGTTTTGACTCCTGGCAACTATATACAAGTCTATGCAGTTTCATTGGCAATATTTTTTTAAAAAACAAGTTTTATTAATTTTCCATTTTTACAAGACTTCAGATATTTAAGGAAGCAACATGGTGGTTGGGTAATACATAGTCCAATAACATGCTTATCCATACATATATCAGTTTACATCATCAAAAATTTCCTCTCTGTTTCCCTTAGTTATTATACCAAATTCAAATTAATATATTGCTAGTTATAACTCAATCATTTAAAACATTTATAAACAACTTTTAAATTATATGTCTCCAGATCCTGTTTTTGACTTTTGTTTGGTTTCAATTACAATATTCCTGTTGGCTTAGTGTCCAATAATGTTTAAGTTTCAGATTACCCACGGTTCCCTTAGTTCATGCAAAATAATATCATGTCTAAAATACACTTATTTTTATTCCAGTAGATTCTTAGTTTATTTCACAGTCATATTATAATTCTCATTCTAATATCATTGCTTACTCATAAAATAACCTTTATCCTCTAAATCCATCTTCCATTTATAATTCAAAACAATTATTTAAATAACTAATTTATTTCCCTTATAAATATAAATCCTAATATTAAATCAAATAACATCTTTTAAAGTCTCCTTATCTCATTACGTAGAATTTAAAGCTCTTCCATTAAATATCACATAAAGAAAACCATTTTAAGTCTAACTCTGGCCTTCCTTTTGTGCCAAGCTGGCTTCCATAAAAAAAGCTTTTAGATATCAAGTGGCTCTCCCTTCATTCCTGCATATATCATTTTAATCAGGGGAGACCATCCAATTATCAGCCTATCAAGGAAGCAGTCCCCTCACAATTATTGAATTGTTGGCCAAATGGTTTAGGTCTCCATATTTGAGTTAATGCATTTATCATACATTTAGACTGGTCTTCTTCTTCTTCTGGTTTCGGCTGGTTTAGATGAAAGGTCATGTTCAGTGTTGTAGTTGTTTTGGGATCATCTAGGTTGTCTAGAATCTCAATATATTGTGTATGTATGTCCTCTGCACATTCCATCTTAGCATTGCTTTGTTGAGTTTCTGTTGTTGTTGTAGTTGTAAAGTCTTCAAGTGAAGTCAAAGTTTGGGTGTCGGAGTTCTGAGTAGATTGTAGCTGGCATTCTTTAAAATCCATTTTGTTATTAGTTCCTTCTATTGCTTTTTGGGATGTAGATTCATCTAATGAGGTTGAAGTTGCGTTTTGTAGCTTTAAAGTGGCATGTAAGTCTTTCATTCTAGAATTCACTAGCTCAATGGTCTCTAGGATTTTTTCGAATATAAGTTTGACATTAAGCTGTGGGTGGTGTTCCTCCATTTCTGTAATGTTTACAAATAATCCTTTAGTGGAGGCTGTTTTTAATAAAAGTTAAAAACCTCCACTGTAAAGAGATATTTTATTCACCCAGCTGTTTCAAGTTCTTATCTTTTATTGCTGTCAAGGACAAGTTTTAGTCTCAGGAGTCTCCCAGTCAGAAAAAAATTTTTTTTTTCACTTGCTGTACTACATTTCACCACAAGATGTCCCCAGTAACATACAGAATAGAGCTTGTATCTGGTTCAAGAGAGGAAAAACAAAAGAATATTCCTCTTTTTTTTCCAGCTTAGCAAAAAAGTAAAACAATATGTTTGTATAGAAATACAGAGCTTTTAGGGAGCCCAGGTATCCAGATATTACAAGTCCAGGTGTGTGGTCTTTTGATCTTATTGTTCTTTTTGTTGTTGTTTGTTTGTTTCTTGGCTTTGTGTTCCTGCAGAAGCCGCGAAATTAAGCTGGGACAAAAGGGTATTTTAAGGATTTTTACAGGAAAGTAGTTGGGGAAAAAAGAAGGAAAGGTAAGGTCTCACCCAACTCCTCCAGTTGCCTCATCAGGCTTATTAGTGCTTTGGGATTTCGGCTGGTGCGACTAAGTGAGCGGCCATGTTAATGGCCACTCTTTTCTTCTTTGGTCCTAAGGAGTTGCCGCTGATCAAACGGAGAGGCTGCTGCCCCTCTGCGATTTGGCGAAGTCCTCCCCAACAGTGATAGTTCCTCCAGGGCGACTTTCGATCGTTTCCAGGGTCTCCTGGAGAAGGAAAACTGGACGGCGGGGAGAGCGATTTCACCGCACGTCTGCCAGTGCCGTAAACCAGAACTGGAAGCCTTTGGCAAGATTTTTTGAAACTTGAACTCCTCTTGTCAGGGGCTAGTTGTGAAACTATGAATGATGATATGATAATTGTAAATACATGGATTGGTCACAAAGCTGTTTTTTAACATTGTTAAAACTTTGAACAATGGCTAAAAAAATAGTAAGAAAGGACTACTTATAATTTGTTTTCTAACAGGGATTCTGTTTCAGAAACGAACATTTTGTTTAGTTTCTTTTCTTCCTTGATTATTTAGGAAGTGCTTTAAAGTGCTACAATTGTAAATCTGCTACGTGTAACAAAACTATGACCTGCACAGCCGACCAAGATACTTGCATAATACTACATTCTGGTGAGTATATAACTTTATCTAATTTATATTTAATTTCTGACAAAATATACAAATTTATTAACATGGTGTTTAGATTGATTTCAATTATTCTGAGCAGCTTAATATGCACAAATGAAGTCAGGATAAAATTTAAATATAGAGTTTCACCTTGAGGGATTAACAATCAAACTGTTTGCATGTGTGCCTCTGAGATTTTTTTTTAATATATATATATATACTTCTGGTGACTGCCTGGACAAATCCCTGCAGTTTTCTGGCAAAGATTTTTGGAAGTAGTTTGCCATTGCCTCCTTTGTAGGGCTGAAAAAGAATGATTGGCCCCAAATTACACAGCTGGCTTTGTGCCTGAGGTAGGACTAGAACTCACAGTCTCTTGTTTCTAGCCTGATGCCATGTGACATGTCGCGATGTATCGTGACTTTTTTTCCATTGCTGGCAATGGGGTTGGCGCGGTTTCACCATGACGCATCTGACCTGCGGGCCAGCAGTTTGACACCCTTGTATTAGAGGCTTTTAGTTACTCTGTAGCACAATAACAACAGAACGGACCTTGGAGGTCTCCTAATCCAACCCGGTGTTCAAGCAGTTTCCCTCTCCCCCACAATTTTATGAATTCAGTTGAACTGACGATAGCTACTCTTCTTCTGGTACTTTTTGTTTTCAACTTTTTTGTTTTCTAAAACTGTTAGAATTATGCTATATAGTTATATCTGTACTTGTAAGTACTTGTTTTACTAAACCAAATGCTTAATTATGTAAACTATGACTTATAGATTGTTAGTGGGTAGCTAAGAAATCATTGCTTATTTTACTTTTCCCCTTTATTTTGGTGGGAAAAAAACTGAATGTTTCTTAGGGGTTTTTTCTGTCTTATTTGGCCTAAAGCTGTTGTCAAATGTTGGGAAAAAGGAGTGATAGAACCCATATGGTAAAATCTCCAGTGAAATAAGATTGATTTTTTTTATTAATGATTTAGGCCAGGGATAGGCAACCTTGGCTCTTTTATGACTCGTGGACTTCAACTCCCAGAATTCCTGAGTCAGCCATGCTGGTTCAGGAATTCTGGGAGTTGAAATCCAAGAGTCATAAAAGAGCCAAGGTTGCTTATCCCTGATTTAGGCCAATTCAAAATCTTTAAAACAATTTTTAAAAACTCTTTTGTGATTTTATACAAAAAAAGTAGGATATCCATTTAACAATTTATTAAAAAACTATGAAATTACTGAACAGACTACCTTATTTTCTTAAATATTTTTAAAAATTAAGTAGGATACAATCTAATTTGTAATCTTGTCTTTTTTTTAAGGTAGTGGAATTATATCTTCCTGCTGGAAGCATTCTACCTGTAATAACAAGTTTGTTTCAGAAATTTTATCACTGAATAGCTTTAAATTCAATTGCTGCAACTGGAATTTGTGTAACGATGCTCCAAATGTAGTAGCTAGCAAGATAGCCCTCAGTGGGGCTTTCTTGCTGACTGTTGCTCATATCTTAAAGTTTTTACTCTGGAACTGAAACAGGGCATTGTTTTTCAGTTTTAAAAAATCAGGATATAGTATTTAGTAGATAAAATTTGTTTGCTGTGTTTCACTTTTCATATTTTTCCTTACATTATTCATTTTTATTGGAAAATTAGATTTAATTTGTGAGACATTCATATAACCAAATGTGTATATATAAAGACCTGCTTATGTTGGGAACAACTTTTGAGTCTCATAAAATTGCCAATCGCATTTTAACTTGTAAGACAATTGTTGCAATAAAAGTGCTATTGTATATTTAAATCAGGATTGGGTTTTTTGTTTACCTCCAGGCTCTTTTTGATGCCACAGCTGAAGCTTCTCCAGTATGCTAAACCATTCTAGTTGTAACAGTGAATGACACACCATCTCCTTGCCACTTTCATGGGTGGTTCTCTATCAACAATTAGTGGCTTGTCTGTGATTAAATGAACTGTCCAAATTCAGACTGGTTACCGTTCCTTAAGTATCACTTTGAACCCTTTTCATGTAGTACTTAGAGTACTGTCACTGCTAGTGGGAAATGATACTTTTTGTTTGGATAACATGTTTAAACTTAGAAAAGCCACAGCCACAGTGAGAATAGGAAGGAAGCAGTGGGAAAATGTGTTAATTTGTCGGCTGGGGTCCCCAGTGGGGAGTGCACTGTGCTGGAGTTGGTTGACTGAGTAAGAGAGAGAGAATACCTTTGTGCTCTTGGTTTTTCATCTTCATTTAATTATTATGCTTTTATAATTATTTATCACATTTTAGAATCATCCATATCCCTCACACAGGGACTCTGGGACTGTAGAGTAAAATATTAAACATGAAAACAATATATAAATTTTTTAAAAATTGACAAAAGAGGCACGTGTGATTAAAATTATTAAAAATTAATTGACAGGCGAAGGGAAGGCTTTCAGAGTGCTAACCAGCCCCATGGTTGCATGCTCCTATGGGCTCCCCACAAAGACCACAAAACCATGTTTTCATTCCTTTCTGTAAGGCCAGGAGAGTGGGTTCCTGCTTCAGTTCTGGGGGGGTGGAGGATATTCCATAGGGTGGGGTAATGGCAGAGAGGCCCTCATCCTGGACCCCACCAGGGTCTGCTATTCATGCTTTTATGCCATTGTAAGCCATCCAGAGTTACTCTGGATAGTGAGATGGGTGGCATATTAATTAGATAGATAGATAGATAGATAGATAGATAGACAGACAGACAGACAGACAGACAGACAGATGTAGAGCAAGAGAGAGCAAGAGTGAGAGTGAGACTGAGCGAGAGAGTCTATCCTGATTATCACCAAATGCATTCCTCTTTTGTCCTAACTGTTTTTGAAGATTCCCCCATGTGGAATGGACAAGAAGGTAAGAAGAAGAACAGCTGCATAATTATCACCAGTAACCTTGGAGTTTTTTGTATCTCTCTGCTGTGGTTTACTGATCATCCAAATTTTGTAGCCCTGGAAATGTTCTGTAACATTTAAATTAATCTGTCATAAGATCCAAGCCAATGTGTCTACATAATTTAGTTTGGAAGGAGGATTAGAGAAACAGAGTACTTGACACAGGACCACAATCTTAGAGGTTTTTGTATCTTTCTGTTGCTGTTTACTGATCATTCAAATTTTGTAGCCCTGGGAGAAGAAATGTTCCACATTTAAATTAGTCTGTATTAAGAGCCAAGTCAATGCTTTTAAATAACTTAGTTTGGAAGGAGGATTAGGGAAACAGAGTACTTGATATGTGACCATAAGAGCAGGGTTTTTTCAATGAAAAAACTAGCCAGGTGAGGAGAAGATGTGAGGATGAGAAGTGGGATTAGACATTTTTTTGCTTATTTTTTTCTTCTGGTTCTTCCCTCTCCTGATCCAGAAGGTAACTGGTTGCCATACCAGCTTGCCCTCGGGTCTACTGTTGCTGCTGGATCTGCTGGTGCTGAAACTGAATCCAGTTCAGTCCAATGACATGTTATTAGCCTAACACAGACTGCAGGGCAAAGTTTGCATGTGGGTTTTTTGACCAGTTGGGAGGAAGGTGATTTTTGTAGCTTCATAGCTCTCAGCTCAGTCTTTGCAGGCAGGGACGGAGTGCTTATGAGTGATCATGACAACTGCCTAGGATATCTTTGGATCTATATTCCACAGAGCAACCAGGGCTTTGAAAGAAGCACCTGCCCATACCAGCAGGAAACTCCCCAGATCCCTATGGAATTTAGAAGAATCTGTGAGACTCCAGGGCAGAAAATCTTAATAGATTTCTCCCCCCACCCTTGTAGAGAGGATTATTTGTTAACGGTCTACACTTCATCAGGAAAATATCAGGATAGAAGAAAGTTGACTTAAGAGCAGGATATGCTAGATGTACTCGGTACCAACTCAACATGTCCCAACAGTGTCATGAAGCTGCAAAGAAAGCCAAGGACATCTTGAGCTTCAAGAAGAACATGGAGTCCAAATCAGAAGAAGTGATTTCCCCACTACTCTGCCTTGGTGATATCTCACTTGCGTTCTGTTTTTTATCTTTGATTACCAATAGCCTTTTACGAGTAAAAAATCATGCCTTCTCATTAATCTTTTTCCTAGTGTGCTGTGATGTTTTTTTACTTAAAATATAATAACAATTACTAAACGTGCATACATATTATGCATACTAGATATACTGTTTAACAAAATAAATTACATTAATGGGAAGCTTATATTACAGGGAGCAGACTTGTAGATGCTGAGATGTTGCAGTTCCCCATACTGTATTTAAATTATTTAAATGTGACATGTTTGTATTCTTTTTAATAAAGAGAAACAGAGGTACATATCCCTTAAATTCTGCTCCAGAGGTTCATATGCCTTAAGTTCCATTGGCTTGTCTTAGTGGCATCGTATGCGCTTAATTAAGTCACATTTAATTTTGAAATTGTGCCCAAGATAGATCCTTAGCAACCCTTCAAAAGTACTGATTAGCGTATCCTTCCGCCTGAAAAAGTTTCGTTAACTTTTCCTGAAATTTTCTTTTAATCCAGAAAGTTCTGTTAGTAATTCTGGCTGTGTGAGATTTTAAAAGTTAGATACAAATTCTGAGGAATTTGATGTACAAAAGATCAGCATTTCCCTTTAATAGCAGTTTAGCATTCTGTACAGAGATTGCCTATTAAGAATCCTGCTCATAAAGAACCGTTTGTCCAGCAATTTATCTTCCATTAAAAAGAAATAATTTATTTGCTGTTTCTGACTTCTTTTTCACACTGCCTATGGATCTGTCTGAGCTTGTTTCTCGTTCTGTGTATTTTGCCTTGCCTATGTATTGTCCCCATAGGAAAATGGACTCTTCTGGTAGCTTCTGAAAAGAAGATTTTGCTTTCTTGAACTACACTGAACCACAGGAATTTTATGATTCATGACAGAGAGATGGACAATGTAGCTGGACTTGCATTTTCATATGATATTGCTATAGATCAGTGGTTCACAACCTTTTTAATGCTGCGACCCCCAACCGGTCGTAAGTCGAGGACTACTCAACCGGTCGTAAGTCGAGGACTACTCAACTGGTGCAGCACTGTTTGCAGAATGGGACTTTTGGGGGGCTCAGCAGGGCAGAGACAGCCTGGACAATTCCTATTGGCTTTTGAAAGCCAATAGAATTAGACTCTATTCAAGAAAGTCTATTCTATTGGCTTTCAAAAGCCAATAGAATAAAAGGGAGTAGCACAGCTAAGGAAAAGAGGAAAAAAAATGGCAGACTGCATTGTTTGGCGACCCCCGTGAAATGGTCGTTCGATCCCAAATGGGGTCCTGACCCACAGGTTGAGAACCACTGCTATAGATAAATATTTTGACTTATTCAATAATTTTACATCTGAGTAGCAAAAGTCATCCAAAAATGTAAAGCTTTATTTGGTACAAAGCCAATCTGAGTCTTTTATTTGATTCCCAAATACATAAATGTTTCATTATATTAGCAGGAATATAAGAATTAGAGCCACAAATAATAAAAAAGAACCAGCCTAAAGCATACATACTTCACAAATATGAAAAACCATTCATATTTGTCTGAAATTAATAAGAAAACTTTTATAATAAGCAGGAAGCCAAGGTAAGAATGGATTTGATCACGCTGGATGATTTACCATCAAAAAATGAGACAGATGGGGCTGCATTATTTTGCCTATTCAGTTTATATGGTGACTATATAATGCATGCTGTAGGCTTAGAAGAATTGAAGAATCCATCCCGGTTCCATCGGGAACAATGCTGTGTTTGGAGGCTCCTTTAAAACTCTGCCTGGCATGGGCCCAGGTTTCTTGAGGTACCGTCTCACCCCAAGGGGACTGGCCCAACCCATTCTTGCTGGCAGAGGCGGCATGGTGTGGATCCTGTCAGTCAAGGAATTTCAGCTAGTGAGGTCCAGAAGAGCTTCCAAACAGAGCCTCAAACAGAGCCGGTCTTTACGCTGGTATTTTTTTCCCCCTCGGCATTTTTGGGAGCAACTGCATTGACACTTAACTTCTTTCCTGAACCCCAAAATAGTTAGTTGTAATGAAACTACCACAGTACTGCATAATTCATTTATTCCACAGGTGAGGAAAATAAGTAGAGGCACCATTACATATGTAGCAACTGAGTGGTAAAATATTTATTTATTTGTTTATTTGTTTGTTCACCCATCCATCCGTTCGTCCGTCCATCCATTCGTTCATTTTGCTGCCCATTTTGCTTTGAAGCAACTCTGCATGGTGTACATCATGAAAGCAATAAAACCATAGAAGATAAATATTTCAAAAAGCAATAAAAATAGAATTGCAATCGGAAGTAATGTTACATTTAAAAGATGGGAAGGGAGGTAACAGGATGTATAGGGGGGGGGGAGAAGGAGGGATTTTCTCTTAATTTATCAACCATCTCCACTGTGATACTCCCCCACTGGGGTTCCAAGCCAACTGGCAGAGCCAAGTCTTTAGCCCTTAATGGAAAGCGAGAACGGTGGGAACCAATTTCAACTCAAGGGTTAAGATGTTTG